ATCTTAGCATGTAGCTGCTTTTTAACATTTACACGGTCCCACTGACTTTCACATAAATAAGTTTTCATAAAAGAAGTCCCTACTCCTTTATGCAACATGGTGTTTGGATTCTTGCAGTTTCACCAAGAATGTCTTAATCAAAATAAAATTCAACATACGAAGCTTCTTATAATTCTCCTCTAAAAAGGAACAAGGAACAGCCCAGCACTAGTTATTGAAACAAATAAAAATCTAATGATGATATAATGATGATGTAAAAGTGATAGTGACATGTATTGTATAAAGACTATTTAAAATGCAGATGAGGTAAATACATATAATATACAGGATATTTAAAAGCTTGCACTACTAATTCTGGGACCACAAACACTGCTTTCAGTGCCGTTAAGATTTCTAAAATAAATCAACTTAAAATATCACCTGTTCAGCTACCAGTTATAGCTACTATGTTCTATCATATAAAGACATATTTTGAGCACTCTGAAAATGCACATTTTTACTTAATTTACTGCCATTACCTGGGAATCTTGTCTATTACTTTATAGTTTCTAAATAAGAGATTAGAAAATTTCAGGCACATTTTGCTATGGAAATTCTAAGCTCAATAATGGCTTAGGTTAAAGTTGTAGTCTGGGTGTACCAAATACTCAAGAAGTTAAAAAGTCTTAGGTAGAAACTGAAATTTAAACTATAAAAAGTTTAAATCTCCCTGTGAATGATTTAGGTTCTTACAGAGACTGCAACATCACAATGACAAAAGGTTCTGTTCATCCTATACTAAAAAAAAAACCCCTCAATTCAGTAAATTCAAAGATTGGTTTCTCAATTAGCTTATATTGGAGTAGTCTTTTAGATTCAAAACAAATCTCAGTATTTCTGCAAGTTGGGAACAGGGTCCAGAGATTTTATCAGTGGAAGAAGGTGGGGGCAATGGTTTCACATAGCAATGTTGGATTATTCTAGGGCATTAGATCATATTTAGCTTGTCACACTATTTTAGACTAACTCTGGATGTAATAAATAAAAGCTTTAAAGAAGGGATGAAATATTATAAAGATTGTGCTTACTATCTCTGAAAAAATATGGCACTTAATTCTGCCCTTTACTGAAGTAAACTGTGCAGAGGGAGGCAACTTTCAGAGTTTGATCTTCTAAAGGAAGAGAAATTCATCTGCCATTATAGGGTGGGATTACTACTCTCGAAACCTGTGATCCTCGCAGCTAAGCAAAAATGTATGAGCTGTGCTTTTGTTTGCAGTGCTGCCACCCTTTTCTCCAAATGCCTTTACTTCTCTGGTTGCAATGTTACGTTATTGTAGAGGTAGCTTTGGTTTTTAAAGACAGAACTCTTCGTCGGTCTCACTAAATGTGCTGTGCTCCTTATCCAAAAGAGGCAGATCATTTTATTTCAAAGCATTATTTTTGTATAACATATCACTTTGGCTTATATTTTCCATGCACAACACTAACCATCAATGACATTTTAACAAGGAGGATTGTTCAGCCAACTTCTGAGATTAGCGTTCACAAAACTGTGGGACAAAGCACTGCAGATTTGCCCAGCTTATCAAACAGGCCACCAGCTTTTATTATTTCAGGGAGAATCAAATTGGAAGTTGCTTCTTGAACTAATCAGGGCTGATTTGCTCTAAAGTTGCTTCCTGACTTAGATCTCAGGCAAGGAAATGCTGTAATCAGTTCCCAAGGGCCGTCAGAGTTGTGATGGGATATTAAAGGAATGGTACACCATCTTTTAAGAGTTCCCTAATCTTGGCAGATTTTTTTGTTTAACTCAGTTAAACCTGAGCTTGCTGTATAGAAACAAAGATTAATTTTATGAGGTAGCTTTATATAAGAGATGAATTTACTCAAGGTAGCAGAACCGAATTTTGGAAAGAATATATTCAGGTTTCATCCAGAGGTTGTATAGCTTATTTATAAATATAGACTGGCAGAATTGTTCAAAACCAAACATTTACCACACGTCACAAACCCCCCCCCCCCCAACTTCATGAAAGAGAAAATGAGTCCCCCTGAGTGCCTCTGTTTGCATATTAGCCCATAGTATGGGCTCTGCCAAGTTACTCTCTGACTGACTGCTGCAGATGCTCTTTCTCAAGTATTCTGAGTGAGATCTTTAGTGCAAGTCTTTGGGGACAAACAATAGCACCTGTTCCTCACAAGATAGCAGCCCAGTTAGTCCATTCATGTATCTTTAATGAAGCTCTGGGGCAGATGGCAAGAAATGGCATCATCAACGACAGCACAGAGGAGACAAAAGGGGAAAGTGCCGATCCAACAATACGTTATTTTTACGAATGGGAAGAGACAGAGTCAGTGTTTCTTAGGCATCTGCTACCGTCTTGGTTTTCAGAAAGACCTGAGGAACATCTCAGCAATTAAAATTTCTGGGCATGTCGCCGATTTTATGAAGTACATCAATCAATGCCTCCTCCCAATTTTTCTCTCCCCTCAGTAAAATCAAAATCATTATCATCATCATAATAAAACTCTCATGAAAAGAAATTATCAAAATTTAAAGATTTTATTGGATTTTTTTTGCATTCATTTTATATATTTAATAATTCTATGATTGGTGACACTTTTACATTCTCTTCATTTTTAATGCTTATTTATGCTTTTCAGTTGACCTATTCTGAAAATGGACACCTGTGAATATAATAATTCTGGGTGAAACAAATATTTATGTAAGAATAGTGTTTAATATGTGACAGAGGGAAGACCCATGGGAGGGAATGGTTGCTATTCAGTATAGGCTTTTTCTGGCTCTATAACTCTCTTAAATGTAAACTCAAACTTACAGCCTAAATGCAACCTTTAGTCAAAGTTACATTGATTTATATAGACTAAAGACCTGGTCCTGGATTCAGAGTAGGAAGAACAGCAGATAGGCAGAATACGAAATAGTGATTTTCCCCACTTAAAAAATTGCTTTTATTTGAGAATTTAAACAGAATCTGTTTGCAAACAGCCAAGGGGATCCAAATCTACAGGATTGCATTATATGTTTTGAATTATTTTTAAGGCACAATGGAGTGAAGTATTACTATAGGTATGTATGCACCATGACTTGAACCATAGTGAACTCTGATCTCTCCTGTGTCTTGTGAGATTGTGTTGGTGTCTTGTACCTTTGCAACCCCATGGAAATCCCCACATGTGTGTGTGGCATATTTCTTAAGATTTTAGCACCATTAGTTAGGAACTACTGAAAATGATTGTAAGTTGTACTGTACTGAATTTCTTCCAGTAGAGTTTCTTCTGTCAGACAAAGCCTGTGGTTTTCTTTTGGTGTACTCCTGTAGAGCCAGCGTGTAGGAACACCACACAGCAAAACCAGCACCATTTTATCAGAGGTAAATGCCTGTTGTGGGCACATGGGGATCAACTCCAATCTGACCAAGTTTAGTTCATAACCTAAAACACACAGCCAGGCTTACCTCAGCTAAAATGAGAGAAATAGCTGTGCAAAGCTAGTTTCTTTCACGGCCCAGTGCCATAGCAGTAATTGCACAAAGACCTTTTTATTATAAGTTGATTTTCCTGAGGAATGGATTCAAAAAATACTGTAAAGTGTTTATTTTTTGCTTGACCTTTATTAACCTACATCTTAGGGCTTTCCCAAGAGAAGAGTTGTTGGTAAATTAACCCTCACAGACACACACAGTAGCATTTCTGCACTGCATCAATGGTTGTGAAAGTAATGGGGATATGACAAGAAAATTTGGCACTATTTAAACAATGTCATAGGTCAACATATGGGATTTGACCAAAAAAGTTTTTTAGGAATTAAATGAAAAAAAATTGCTTGAAGTGTACTTTAACTTTTTAATAGTATTTAATGCCACCGATTTATGGTAGGATGAGGGCAAAATTTCTTTTCTGCCTAAACCCCAAATTTCTTCCTACATTTACTAGCTTTGATATATAAACCGTTATATATTTTCTTAACTACTAATCATAAAAATCACAGTCAAACCCTTGGGTACTTCTGGGGTTAAGGTATGATGGATAAAAACTCTTTGTTATCTTATCCACTGTCTCTGAAACACAGGTAGTGTAAATTAAGGAACTAGGAAATGAACATGTAGATTTAACAAACACGATTCTATCACATCTCTGATTTTCTATATGTTGAATACAAAGGCTGGTATAAGGTGAAGAATTTCCTCTGGCTTGTTTGTGGTTTTTGATACATTCATTAAGGTCAAATTAAATTTGATATAGTAGGGTTTTTTTCTGAAATGGTCTTTAAATACAGCTCTATAATTACCAAGCTACATGATAGTGCATACAACTATAAAACTGCTCAGATAGACAAGCAATTTATATGTTATTGTGAGGTGTGTGTGGCAGAGGATGTTAGTCTATTTGGGAGACAAATAAAGATGTTGGAGCCTTAAACTTTAAGAGCTGGGGTGTTGACTAGAAAACTATTTAGTAGTGTTGTGAGGTTTGGAAATAACATACCTGAGTTGTTGGTATATATGTGAACAATACAATGTTGTAAGATCTCAGAATTAAAATTATCCTAGGGTTACTAAAATTTGATCGTTGAAGTAGATACTGCAGTGTTAGGCTACTTCTAAATGCTTGTCACTCTGCTGTCTGTGACTAAAGATGAGAAAACTTGTGAAAAATTCCTAGGTATATGTACCACTCTACTTTTTAAGAAAACCTATGGTATGTTTTGTACCTTTTTGCCTTGTGCCAGGACAGGGAATTTTAGTTTAAAAAAAAATAATAGAGAACCAGAAAGAAGCAGGAAAACGTGCAGTTCACTGAGACTCTTACACCTTTGACACCGAGGGAAAACAATGTTAGTGAGGGCTTTGATGTGATAATGTGAAGTTGGCAGGGATTGCATTAAGGCGAAGGTTCTTTGGGACTGTGTGAACACAAGAACACTATCAGTACTGGAGAAATACCTGTCAAGACAAATTTGTGCTATTTCTGATCAGAGGCTCTCTTCTGTTTAGCAGGTTCAGGGTCACATGCCTCCGCTCATGATCCCAATTTTTCCACACGACCAGCGGACGCTGGCAGCGGCTGCTGCAGCCCAGCAGGGATTTCTCTTCCCCCCAGGAATAACTTACAAACCAGGTAAGCTGATAGGGATGTGAAGCTGTTGCGCATTTTAAGACATTAACTGTATCTTCTTGTGTGATCTGTCTCATATAGATGATACACAGCAGGCATAGCTGGTTGGAAATTATGTGGAGCTTTTGCAATTCCACTTGAAAAAAAACTTCTGGATTGAAGGAGGTGGATGGACTATTGGTTATTGAACATCATGATTTTCTTACCTTTATTTCCTACAAAATCATTTGCTTTAAATATATTGGCCCACTTAGCTAGCAATTTGCATCTGGTCTGCCCTGTGTTATTATACAAAAGCTACACGTCTTTAATTAACCCTGTTATCTTCAGTATATTTGTCTTTTGTGCCAAAATTCTCGCTCTTTTGTTTGATTTCAATCTGGTTAATAAAAGGTTTCAGTAGCTCAATTCCAGTCATTATTCAGACTCATAACAGGTCACATAACCTTGCAGTGAAATATGTTTTGAGATGATTTAGCAAATGTTATGATTTCTTTCTTTTTTCCTCCAAGTTTACAGGACTCCTGGGGAATTCAATTAGGGATATAATGGTTTGAAGCTACTTTCAGAGTCTCCTTGTAAACAGGGCTTTAAATGTTTAAAGACACTTTGCCAAAGGAATTCAATGTAGGAAGATAGTTAAGTAAATAAAAGTCAACCTTATTTTCATTTGTACATTCTTTATAAGTGACCTCAGTCCAGAAGCAGCAACCTTATTTTGCTCATTAATAGTATTCCCTGTCAAGCTGCCTTTAGCATATTAACCTGATAACTAATAACTACGAAACATAAAGACCAGTTTCCTTTTTATTCATTAAATATGAAATGTACAAAGTAAAGCATTGATCCGGTTCCCACTGATGTTAGTGGTGATTTTGCTGTTGACTGCAACAGGAACAGGGTCAAATCCAAAGTAAAGCCTCATAATAGATGATGTAAACAGCATGCTAATTAAAAGCCAGGTTGAACCTAAAATCCTTTCTAGCAAGTTTGCTTAATATTAGATGAAGTGAGGCCAAGCAGGATTTCAGCAAGTATTTCGGTTTGTTCCACTTCCTTCTGTCTCTTTAGTCTGGAGACATTCCTCTTTAAAAACACTAGAATCTTTCTCCAGATATTATCTTATTTTCACTTATAAAAACCCCCAAAATTCTTTTCCAATTTGACAAACTGGTGCACTGGATGCAGGAAGCAGTTACTAGAGTTCTGAAAGGCAGAGAGCTCTAGATGGCACAGGATGATGGCTATTCACAGCAGCTGGGGACCAAACTGAAGAATATTTTGTCTACAAAGACAAAGAGTTGCCAGTTGTGGAAATTGTCTACAGCACCCTGGCTAATATCTTTCTTCCCACACACGAGAGAAAGCACATGCTTTCCTTGCTTTTCCTGTTTTAATCTGAGATGCTTTCTGTAGAGTGACTGCTAATGACTTAGCTGTTGGTTTTGCCTGAAAGGTGTTATGTTAAATCATGTTGTGTTAATTTTGCCTCTGTAGGCTTCTTGGTAAAATAATGACTTAGGAAGAAGAGTACCAGCAACTTTTCCTGCACATGACCAAATTTCTGCACTTATTCTAAAGTGTTCCTTACAGTACCTATCCTAACAGCTTCAGCTGTTCTAATTTGATCCTATTGACCTTCTAATAGGAGGTGATACAGCTTCAGGGCATTTTTTAACTTGCCAGGATGCAGAAAGAGAGATGTATGACAAATGTTAGAAGAATAAAGTGCAGGAAGAAACCAAGGCCTAGATATCTTGGAAGACAGCTAAGCTGTTTGCTGGTATGTTATTGGTTTATGTGCAGATGATGCCAGTAAAGAGCAGAAGTTACAATTATCTGATTATACCCAGTGGTTTTAAGGAAATGAGAATATTTATATCTTTAATATATTTATTAAATTCTACAGCATATGTGGTAAAGGTAGCTGGGCAGGTCAGTAGCTTCTGTCAGAGAGACATCATGATTTAAAAAAAATGCTGTAACTACACTTGGTATTGATTAATTCCTATTTTTGGCACTCTCGGCACGGTAGTTAAAGAATTAATGAAACTGGAGATTAAGCTATACTCTTTCATAGAGAGGGTTCTTCAAAGTCATTTCTGAGGAATATTTATGAACTTGACTGCTACTACCTGTACTCTCCTACTTTTGCGAGAAATGAAACTTTCACCTCTAGAACTGTCAGTTTAAACTCAGTCATACCTCTGAGGGAAGATAGGAGATGGATTAACCCTTCAGACACTCACCATTTCCTTTTAGCTTGCTGGTCTAGATTCTGTTTCATTTACTGCAGTTTGATGTAGGCAAGACTGAGTTTTGACCCTGCCAGTTTTCCCTGATATTCAGAAAATGCAGCGAGAGGCATTTCAGTAATAGGAGCAGTGGGAACTAAGTACTTTTGAAACTGACTGTGTCATTTAGGGAATGTCAAATATTGTGTGCACAGTCACTTACTTTGCTTTGCCTGCAGAATGGGCTAGATATAAGCCAGCTCCGAAGTGGAAGCGACGTATCAGTGTTAGTGTGACAGGACAGCCCAGATGAGTCCTGCCTTGGTGTACAAGCAGGGGGATGATTATGTGTACATGTCCATGCGGAAATGTCTTCATGGGCTAAGTGGGAACCAATTTCATGGCTGTTTAGTTCAATGCCAAGATAGCAGTTACCAAGTACTGCGGCAAATCTGCACGCAAACTCTATGCCTAGAAGAAATAAAATGATATTATTTAGCAAAATACACTAGTTCATTCCCTCAATTGAAGGTCCTATAGAAGAGAGGAGAATTTATTAGGTACTGAGACCCTTCCAGTACATAGCTTGGGTGCTCATGAACTTCTGAGCTCAGAAGATCATTATGAACAGAAACTCTAAGGACTTGCTGATATACAGCTATGATAAAGCCAGCCAGGAGAGAGTTTCCTACTGCCTGGCAGAATCTCTAACATTGAGATGGCTGTAACCCTCCCCCTGCCATGTTTTGGAGTTCTAGGAGGTGAAACAGGCCAAAGTTAGCAAGTGCTGATGACAAGTAATAATTACATTAGAAAAAAAATCCCCAAAGTCCCATGCTTCCTTATGTATCTCAAAGTCATGTAATATAATTTTCCGGCATGGTAAGTACTAATTGAGAAATCAGAGCTGCATAGACCACCTAATTAATTTTTTATACATATTTCAGTATTTATACTGTATACCGGATTAATTAAAACTTTAGGGCGCTGTGCATCTCAAATGACTGTTGTGACTATTGACCTGCAGGCATTTGACGAGCCTCGTAGAGTACCTGGTTGTGGGGGTTGCCACTTATTCCAGTGGGAAGCTGAGAGTGGCAGCTGTTAGGAAGCTAATACTTGCCCAGAGATGCTACGCGGTTAATAGAATTATTTTGCATTCTGAGTACAGCGAAGCAACTGCACTGGCTTTCTGACTGTGACCACTATACTTACTGCTTGGAACTGGTAGGTAACATGGGTACCATTATACCTCCTCACCCAGTGCAAATTTCCCTTCATTTAACCAACCACGTGCATCCAGGAAAACTTAGTGGGCTGGAGTATCTTTGATTAGCGTGTCCCCATTAGTGCCCTGGGACAAGAGGAGAAGAGAGTGAGTGGAATAAAGAGGAAGACAGTTTCCTCCTCCATCTTGAGGTGACTAAAGTATTACTTCCATCAAATTCTGTGGCTGAGAGGGAACAGGGAAGTAGGATGACGATGGAGTAAAGAAGCAATGCTGGGTAGGAGCCAGACCGTACATTGAACTGAGCTCAAACAGACCTATGGTTTGCTCAAAGCAGAGAGTGGGAGGGCTGGTCTCTATGCTGTCTGCATAATGACAGTCCATATGACTTGAAAATGTGTGATCACTTTTGCTTGATAATCTTTTGCAAATATTTTGTGTTATATCATTTTTTTACCACATCTGGAAAATATCTCTGAAAAAGATTTTTGAAAATAGAGACATTGAGTAGAGTAAAACTCTATTTAAAAAGGTTTGTTGAGTGATATACTGCAGTCTATTTTCAAAGCATTTTTTCATCTTTCATGCAAGAACTGTATAAAGACCATGACTAGAATGGCTAAGAAACAACCTTTTTCTGCCTACCTAGGTCATTTGGCTTTATACGCAAAAATAATTTTCCAGAGATTTAGCTATGCTGCAATACAATGTGAAAATGGAGACTGTTTTTCTAGGCTGGTAGCAAAAATAATGAGAAAGAGAGCCAACATTTTGGCCTAATTCTGTTTCTACGTGCACTGGGACAAATCAATCCTTTGAAATCAATGAAAGTAGTAGTAGACAAAGCATGACAAACAAAAATGTCAGACTTATTGTCACTGGACTGGACCTCAGAACATTCCAATACTGTGAGATATTTGTCATCAAACAAATTAAACTTCCTGATTATGGTAGCTAATCCACATAACTAACACAATGTTAGATATGCTGGATTTCACTGATAATCCAGCGTTGCAGTTTCCATTTGGAATAGGCATTTCAGAAGTTTTTCCTAAAGCCGTAAGGGGGTTTAGATTATACATAGCTCAGTACTCTATTTTTGCTGTTCCTCTTGGCAGGTGAGAACAAAAAGTGCACACCAAATCAACTGTGTGCCGAGTTGGCCGTGTATCTTTGCATGGCAGAGGTGCTGCATGAGTCTTGTTTCTAATGGAATTTCCCCAGGAATGAGTAAAAGCCTGTCACGTGTTCCCTGTTGAGTTTTACTGGTTGGAACAAGAAATCTGTAACCTCAGGATCTGTTGTAGCAATCCATATGTGCCTCACTCCTAAATGCTGAGGTAAAAGCTGGACGTGGTAGTAGGCAATATTGTCAGGTGGGATTTTGCACGGAAATTTGCAAATTTCATAATTTTGCAAACATTACCCACAGACAGACAATTGTGGGGGAAACCGATTTTGCTGCAACATGTGAATGGTGATAAAGCAGAGTTGCAGCAAACCCTACTCAGAACAAAAGGCATAACTGAAGTAGTACCATTGGACAGGGGAGATGGTCCAGTGTTCCCTTAGCCAGTTACCTCTATTAACATATTCCTCAATCCTAATGGATATGTACAAGCAAAATATATACCCTGTGTGGGTGTACTGTGGGAGTACACAGTACATCTGTATCCTTGCTGTATCCTGACAACACCCTGAGAAGAGATACGCTTTTCTTGGTCAGTTCATTATGCCTGGAAGGGTAGGGCCCTGGAATGGGTGATCTCTTGCAGCTCTTCCAACTCCATTTCCTCTCATCCTATGAGCATACATGGAGAGTGTGCAAGCGGCAGTTTGAGTTCCATGTGTGAAGTGACAGATTTTAAGTCACAATCCCAGAATAGGGAAAACATTGTCAAACCAAGAGCTTTGTAACTCAGATGAGGGGAGTCAGCTTATGTCTTACAATTGTGTTTTAGGAAAGACGGGTAATAAAGCAACACCTTCCCCCTACTCTGGGTCTCACACAAGCCAGACATCCTTCTTTCCTCACAGCTCACAAAGCCTTGATCTGGAAGGTAAGTCTATACGTCCTATAAATAAAGTCCACTAGACTTCATCTCTTCATCCAAGACAAAAAGAAACATTTACATTATTTCTATGTAGAATAGCACAGCACAATTGCTCACTGCTTTTATTCATTTGGAAATGTTGCTCAACCTGACAAACGAAACAGAAGTCTGGCATACTTTTCCATGGCTTGTAAACACCAATTTATATATAAACAACAGCAGCCAAATGTAAATAGACAATCAGCACAGTGAGGAGATTGAACAGATCAGTTTGCAAAACATAACAGATTTTCTTCTTCCAGCATTCTTCTCACTCCTGTTTATCAAAGACCAGCACACACCAGTACCTAAGGCAGACCTGTCTGAACATGTTCTGCTGCCTTTTGTACAAATTTAAAAGAATGGATCCTCATGCAAGCATTCCAAATTGAGAAACAAATTTGAAAAAAATTGCTACAATACATTGACTGATTTCTTGCCAGCTATGAAGAAGCTTCTTCATCCATTCTTGCACTGAGAAAATGAGAGGGGGAAATATGTACCTCTGTAATTAAAAATGAAAAGCAGAGCATTCCTTACATGTTCAGTTTGCTCAAGGGAGAAAGAAGTACCTTTGCTCTGCTTTTACTGCTTGGTGTCAGTGAAGTACTCCAGAGCTAAACAAGTATTAATTTTTCTTCTCAGCACAAAGATGCTGCTAACATACCAGGACTTAGCCATAATTTAACACATTAAAATGAGGGGGAAGAGGGACAGTATTGGATATTAATGCAAGTAAATGGCATAACTATAAAATTATTTTTCCTGTAATAAAAGAAAGAACTGTAGCCAGCAGGTGAGCAAGAGAACACTACAGGGTGTGGTGAAGATACTATTAAATTAACTGTGAAGCCAAAAACTCTGTGTGTATGCGCGTGTGTGCTTGTGGGTATAAAATATCTGGCTATTTCAAACCATAGGAGCATGACAGCTGTGAAAAAGGAGTGCCGCAGGGAATTCTTTTAGAGTTTGATTTTTTTTAAAATATGTTTGACATGGAAAATGTTTTAGTACAAATAAAGCAACTGGTATTGAACTTAAAAAGTGTATGCGGAGGGGGAGGGAGAAAGAAGAGATTGCTGTGTGGAACAGGAATGAATAATTCATGATATTTAAAGAAAGAATGCCTCCGAAATGTTCTGCAAGGCAGTCCATGCTGATAAGTCGGATGGTTATTTTCCCCCCCATTTAAAGCATCATTAATTCAACATCTTTGTGATTTTTTTAAAAAACCTTGTAAGATATTTCTCAAAGAAACATTATTTAACTTAGATTAGGATCTTATTTATTCAGATAATTTAATATAAATATCAAAGACATGAGTGGAATTATTTAACCATAAAGAGGCAGCTTTAGCACTTTTAGAAAATAATCTAGGGGTTTTTGTTGCCTTTTTTTTTTTTTTTTTTTTTTTTAGGAAAAAAAATCCACCAACATCATTGCAAACTAAAATCAACCTCATGGAATGGGGAAAATAAGAGGAGATATTTTGAACATTACTCCATAGGACACCAGTACAATATAGTGTTAGTGAATGCATTGTAGCAGAGCTCCATACGCAATCAGAATCCAATTGTTACTGGACTGTGTACAAGCACATACTGTGCTCAATGGCCTGATGAGGTATTATGGATATGATGCAAAGAGACCTTGTGGATTAGACATGTACAATTTATTAAAAAAGTGAAGCAACCGAACATTTTAACTGAGCTGAATACAATAGAACTTCAGGTGGTAAGAAAGGAGAGTTCTGAGGAATCCAGTGACTGCAAAGATTTTTAGCTATTGTTATTTATTTAAGGGGGTTGACACAAAAAAAAAATCTAGTTCTTGGAATGCCCTAATTACATTATATTGGATTTCTGTATTTTCTCTCATTGCTACATTCTGCTTTCAGCATGGAAGAGTTTGTGTAAAGTAGACTGATTATTGTAAGTCTCAAAAATGTACAGAGGAGCAGCCTGTTAAAATGTAACCTACAAACTGTATATAACGCTGACTTTAAATAAGTAGCTTGAGCCAAAGTGATATTCCATTAAATCATATTTACTGTGTAACTTATCCATCACTATATTCATTTTTATATTTCAGATTACACTGCTAAATTATTTCAGCCTTCCTTAACTCCTTACATCCACTAAGAGTCCCAAAGGCACTGAGTGATGCATAAGTGTGGGAACACACTCATAGATGCTATAAGACACAGTGTTGCAATGCTTAATCTGGAACAACAGTATCTCTTATTTTCTGGAGTATTTGTTGTCCCCTAAATGCAGATGGCACACATTTTCAGTTTCTAGTGAACAGAACACACAAACGTTAGTACCCTAATCTTCATGTAACTGAGCAGCTGTCTAATCTACCAACTTCAGTAGTTCCCCAGATCTCAGAGAAAGTTAAAATTGTATTTCCAGCTATTTTAAGAAGTGATTTAGTTTTTTTTCTCTATGACTACCTTAAAGAGTTGTCCCAAGACAGAGAACCCCAAAGGAAAATAAGAAACCTCAACCTGCGTTGAGCCAACTGGGTAACTTTCACAGAAGCCACTCGACACTAAAAAAGAAATCACCCTTCATTACACTGGACAGAAAATTCTTGGGTGATAACAAATTTCTTTTGTTTTAAGAGACATGTGGTGAAAATAACTTTTTTTCCTCTGGGAGCCACTAGGGTTTCCTGGAGTATCTTATCTGCATGTCTGTGGCTCTAAGGCCCATTTTGTACCCAGGCTTACACGCTTGATTTGAACATTTGCTTTTGAAAATCACGAGCATCGTATTTATGTTTTGCCAGTTTGCCTACCAGCTATCTGCTAACAAAAAAAGTTCCAAGGGAGCATGGCAAGTCTGTGCCCAGTGAAGCCTTTTGTTTTTGCAGATGTTTAGGCTTAAAGGAGTGCTGTGGAGCACAGGCAATCCTAGGTCCTTGTTTGCACTTGTCTGTTGCTATTCTCTGCTCATTGTCTGAACCTGCACGCATTGTTCTCCCGACAGGTGATAACTACCCTGTGCAGTTCATTCCATCAACAATGGCAGCTGCTGCTGCTTCTGGACTCAGCCCTTTACAGCTCCAGGTACGTGCCAGAACAAAAAAATGTGGGATCGAAGCCAACATTTTAGGGGAAAACTGCTAACCAGCTGTATGCTAAATAATAGTCTGAATGTTAAATAATTTTTGAGCACAGCCCAGGAGGATTAACACCTTATGTACTTACAGTACAGCAAATACAATAATGTGCAAGCCAACCGTGATACTGTGAGTGAAAGACATTGTTACGTGTGTTTTGTATTGGCAGTTAATGGTATTTTTTTATTTATATGACCAGTTGATGGGAGACAAGTTCAAAGATCATTTTGTACTTTATTTTCATGTGGTCTCTCCCCTGTAGCTGCAATGTACTACCTTTAATTGAAGCAGTCAGTGTATCCAAACAAAAGTATGTTATTGTGGTTTTTTTTTCCTTTTCTTCTTTTTTCTTTTTTTTTTTTTTCCAAACAGTGTGGTGTTGACAATACAATAAATTGCAAACTCTTTTAGCTACTGTATTTAGGTAATCTCAACCTTTCTGTGCATTAAGCTGGTCAGATGCCAAGCATGGTTAGGAGCCTTAGTTTGGCCATTTATTTATTTTTGGCATATGCAGAGTGAAATGTCGTGAAAGAAAGATTTATGTGCCATATTATTAGCTAGCTTCTTGTGGCAAGAAGTTTTTAATTTCACAAGAAAAGACACAACAATGTCATAAATAATGAAGAAACAGTCAAAAGCTTTCAGAGTTAAAATGTGTGGAAAGAAAGTGACAGTGAACATGAGAGGAAAGGCCATTAAAGATGCATGTAACTATTTGCAAGTAAACCTTTGAAACCCCTATTTGAGTTAGGTTAGAGTCAGGTTCAGAAGCGAAGTAGGAATAAATTGTGCCTAGAGTAGCAAAATATTGCCATGTTAATATCCAAATATCTACTTTGCTTACCTTTCTGTAACTATATAGTTTTCCAGAGGGACCAAAGCAAATTAAAAACCCTTTCGTCTTTACCCTATGCTGATATTCTTGCCAAATTAACTTAGGATAAGTGAGAATGGCAGCAGAATTCGCTGTTCATTGATGGTCCAGAGCTAGCAAAAAAGACCTCTCGAGCTTAGGTCTGGCCTAACGTACAATCAAAATTTGTCAGAACACCCTGAGTCTGCAGGCAAAGATCTCCAAAAAATGCTTTTGGGACATGATAATGTAATGTTAGACTGTACCTTGGGCAGGCTTCAAACCGAAGGGAAGTTTCTCAAAAGGAAAAATAGCAAGCAGGTATCCTTTGAAAGTCTGTATTTGACTATTTATTGAAGTGAAAGTCTCATTAACTTTAGTAGAGAAAATACTGCAGGAATCACCTTTGTGAATAGAGAGAGACTGTTTTTGCTGCTTTGAAATGCACTAAAACAAATACTGTGCCTACACAAGGCTGTAAGGCAGGAAAGCATGAAAACTGTTCAACTGTCAAAGAAACAGGATCTAAACAACAGACATTTTGATTCTTTCCTTTTACAGGATCCATTTGTAACTTGACCCACATATTTATACGTTAGACTTGATCTGAACCTACAGCAATAGTACGATTTCATTAATTTGTGGAAATGATGAACTGAGTTGTTAAACTTGATGAGAACAATTAGAGAGAAAACAACCAGCCAAGAAAGTGGTGCTAGTAAACTCAGAAACATTCAGGCTCGAGGGGCCTGAATTTCCATTTTGAAATATATTTGTTGCAAAAGGCTTCTTTTTTCTTTTGTTTGTTTCTCCCCCTTTTCTATTTTGTTTGAATTTCACCTCTAGGGGATTTCACAACCTTTAAGGTTTCATGGTTATAAGAGCTTAAGTGATATAGTACTTAACCTAAGTTTGATACCTGCTCATCAGATTGTCAAATTGTCAGAAATCAAATTTTATTTACTCCCACTATTAATATTCTATTAATGTTCTCTTTGTGTCAGTTCTCTAAGTGTTCCCTAAATGACTACTTATTTGGGTGTGTTTGTTGGAGGGAATTTGTTGTTATACCTGATGCGTCATGAAGACTGTTAGAGGTGTAGAATTTCAGCTAATTTTTCCATCTTTGCTTCCCTTCCCCCTTCTTTCTCTGTTCTGCTTCCTTTCTTCCATGCACCCCACCCACTTATTTATTTACATGAATGCTGTGGCCATGGTATCTGAGTATTTCCTAAGTGCTTAAAAATACTGATCACAAACCTAATCTCTGTTCCTTTCAACCAGTGGGAGAAATAGCTTTCATTTGCAGGTTTGGTTTTGTTTCTACATGTGAGTGTGTGTCTAATATACATGTTTGGAGAACTTGGGGAGGGAAAGCTATGTCAAGTCAAAGATCTTTGCAGTAGCTGTAATATTTCAATTTACCAGGGCATTATTATTAGTTCCAAAATTATGTTCCATAATCTGTATGCAGCTGCAGTGGACATTCTGTCAGCTTCAAGCTTGTAATCCCTCCTTTTTTCCACTTGCGGGGGTTTTTTTGGGATGATCATACTCCGGGTGGGGGCTAGTAGCAAATTTGTGTTCTCATCTTCCTGTGTGATAGGGCAACTTCTATGCAAGCTCTGAATCTAACAGCACAGAGAACCATTTACTCCCAGGTACGTCATGTAACGATAGCAATTATTCCCCAGGTGATGTTTCTCCAGAGGGCAAGTTGTAATTAATGATTTGCCCATCTTACTCAAGCTCTTTAGCACATTGTTATCGAAATGTACTTTCTCTGAATTCTTTTTTTGGGTTCACCAGGGAACTATGTATCTCCATGAGTTAAAAAAAGACTTTACTGAAATCATATACAGGAGTTCCTCAAGTAACTAGTTTCACTCATAAGTGCAACATTAAAAAAAATAAAATAGAAAAAAAGTTCTCCTTCAGCAACAGATTGGTTTGACCCATCTGCTCTTTAGATTTTTGCATCACATTAATCAACTCATGGTAAATACCATTAATACTCAGTTGCAGCTTTGAGTATCCTGAAATAAAATAGTAACTACCACACATTTATGACAGTCCATGTTCCCAAACTGGTGACTTGCTCGGCTTTGGGTGGGTGTCAGATAGCTTCTTTTAATCTATATACTGATCTCATGAAGGTGTCATCGAAGGTGGTGTTGACAAAAAAGGCTTAAAACTCTGTGACCCACCCTTCCCATTGCTGTCTCAGCCACATCTCACCAGTTTCCTCAACAACTCAGCCAAAGATTTAAATAATATACCTGGTAGGATTAAGCCTTGTTAGGATTCTTGGTATGAGAAAGGATTTTGCTGATGCAGGAACAGTTCTTTAAGTACAGTCTAATCAGAAAAAACAAGCTATTTCTGTTTGCCCCTCCAGCTTCAAACAGCTGTGAATGAATCTGGTCAAATCAAACTTCTGCTAGTTTACAGATATATTACCAAATACACCTGTAGCATGTGTGCATAGTGGTGTGTGAAACAGTTCTGATGCATTTGTGTAACAAAAGAATGTTGCTTTAATTAATCAGTGTGAGCTGTAAAACCTGTCAATAATTTTCCTTTTGCTTCTCTTTACACATACCTTCTCTCCTTTCCCGTTTCCCTGAATCTTTTCCACAGTTGTCAGATGTTTGCACTAATATTAACTGATGCTAGATATGTGTGGCCAGCAGTCTTGTTAAATGAGCGAACCTGATCATGGAATGGGATTTCCCAGATCCCATGTTGCTGGCAGCAGTAACTTAGTTACTGGGAAGTCATAATGCTGGCAGAGGTGGCACCTATATCCTTACTTTCAAGGCATGTTACTATATGCTCTTTACTGTTCAAAAAGAATATGCCTTCATTCTTACATATTTCTACAAAACTGTCTATGTGGTAAATAAGGAAATGTCGCAACTCTCTCAACCACGACTGATAAACTGTTGATAGAAATGGAAGCACTACAATGATGCTAACTGGAGTTATTCCTAAACAAAGTGAGCTCTGGGAAAAAAAAGCAAAACAAAAAAGCTTTCGTTCATAACTCTTTCCCCAAACTATTTGTGTAATTTGTCCTTCAAAATTTATCGCTTATAACACTAATGAACCTTGGCAAGTCTTAACTATAGTCGCAGCTGTGTTCTTGAAACCTGAAGTTTTTATAACCCGTTTTAAAAAAAAAATTAACTGAACACATATTTTTCTATTTCTTTTCTGCCCTCCCATCTCATCGTGCTCCTCAATATTCTCTTCTAATTGCAGACAAATATTATGACCTCTTTTTAATACTGCTGGGTGCAGATCCGGTGTACTGCTGAAGCATTGCACAGCCTGCCTCAGGGGCACAATATTAGTAGAGGGAAGGCCAAAGAATGCTATTTTTAGTTGAACAGTTCAGCAGATGGAGGCATGAATACTCATATATCTGAAGGTTGAGGGGTTTGAACCATTAATTTTGATAATGTATTTAACCCTGGGAACAATCAGAAACTGTAACTCCAAGGTTACAATGCTTTTGACCTTTAGAGGACAGAGGGCACTTGGTACAGTAAACAATATATTACATTTCTACTTATTCCAATTCTCTCACACATATAAATTTCAGGACATAGTTGACATTTGCTTTCCTCAGCTATTTTAGTGCTGGTCCTTAAAGTAAGTCAAGAAGAATGTGCAGGAAAGAGGCCAATGTAATGCGACAGTCATGTAAATATGGCCTTTAAATAGCTAAGTTGTTAAATGTGGCCCTTTATGAAGAAATATTATTCTCGGGAACTAGAATCTGGGTGACTTATTATTTCAATGAAAAGGTTGTTTTAGTGGACTGCTGCTCTTACGGAGTTTCCTCTGTATGCTGTAACCTTACCACAATTTTTCAGTGGGGCTAATATGATATGATAGTGATAGCTCACACTGGAGGTGATTTGGTCCCACTCTGGTACCACATCATGCAAAGTGATGTACCTGCCTTATGTCTTATTAAATGATGCATGCTCCTCTTCAACAAATATAGCAGTTAAATATCACGCAGCTTAAGTATTTCTAATTAAAATATCTCCATGTGTCAGCATATTGGTAATGTATTATTT